GTGGAACCCAGATTGGGACACCATGGTATGAGGCTAGAGACGAAGGGAGACCCGTTCAGAGAGTGGAGCCACGTTCAAGGGAGCAGAGCGCCAAGCTTGGAGACAGGACAGTATGCAGGGGGCCAAGAATCGGTCTTCAGAGACCTGCCTGAAGACCGTCCTGTGGGTGAGGACTCGGTAATCAGCTTTGTTCTTGGGGGCACCAAAGGTTAGGAGCCGTGAGGTGCCAAGAAAAGGTGCTTTCCAATTTTTGAATAATGTGTTTCTTTCTGGTTATAAATGTTCAGCATGCTCATTACAGAAACTTTGGAAAACATATGAAAGTATAAGGAAAAAGTAAAAAATTAGGATCCCACAATCCAGAGCTAACCTCTCTGTTAATATGGCAGAACAGAGTTCTTAGCTCCTTTTCTACATCCCAGCATTCCTCGGGTGGACTGAGCCCCAAAGGCTAGTGACTCTGGGGTTGGAATGTGGAATTTGGTGTGCAGGTGTATCAGACAGCTATCGCTATAACACTGCGTAACAAACAAGCTCGAACGTCACTGGCTTACAATGATAGGCATTTATTTCTCACTCAGGGCTCTGTGGGTTGGCTGAAAACGGAATGATTTTGGTGGATCCACACTTTAGGCAGGTCTCTATCTGCTTCATGTGGCTCTCATTCCTTTTGGTGGATGGGGGCTTTCTGAGGCTTGTGACTAAGCTCACAGTGACAAGCCCCACTGCACAATCATGTTTTAAGCCTCTGCTCCAGTCATAATCCACTATCATTCTACTTGTCAAAGCAAGTTGCATGGCCAACCCAAAGTCAAGAGGTGGAGAGGAATATCTGCCCACCAGGAGCCTCTGGCAAGAATGTGGATGTAGATGCTGCCATAGGGGGGTGGAGACTTGGGACCACTAGTTCAATCTACCCCACTAGGTGGGTCTAATGCTCCCCACTCCTCCCCAGGGTCAGGCTCCTCCCACTTGGAAGCACTGCTTTAGTGTTTTTCCCTCTTTATATCTATTTACTAGAGGCTCAGTGCATGAAATTCGTACACTTGGGGGAGGGGGTGTCCCTCAGCCCAGCCTGTGCCCTCTTGCAGTCCGGGAGCCCTGAGGGGATGTCCTACTGCTGACTTAGGCTGTCAGTCAGACATCCTTAGCACTGCCACGGAGGCAGGAAAGGATCCTGTCACTACCACAGTGCTTGCCAACCATGAGCCCGGCTTCTGGCGCACTGACCACCAGGGGGCAGCTCCTGTGTTGAGCGTCTGCCCCCTGGTGGTCAGTGCTCATCATAGCGACCGGTTGTTCTGCCATTCAATTGATTTGCATATTAGCCTTTCTATTATATAGGATATTTTTTTTTACCAAACTGGGTTTATAGTCTACTTTTTTTTAGAGTAAGTTTATAATGATTTGGAATCATTTCAACCTACAATGTCTCCAGCCCCATTGTACTCAATATTCCTTCATTTAAATAGTTCCAACATGACAGAGCAGTAATTATAAAGAAACTGAACTTGACTTAGTTCAGTTAAACCATCCAATGTAGACAACTGGAATTTTTCATCTCTGTTTAATTTAAAATTTTATTTTTTAATTACAGTTGACATTCAATATTATTTTGCACAAGTGTACAGCATAAGTGGTTATATATTTATATAATTTACAAAGTGACTCCTCACCCCCACCCCATAAGTCTAGTACCCACCTGGCACCATACATAGTTATTACAACGTTATTGACTATATTCTCTATGCTGTACTTTACATCTCCATGACTATTCATAACTACTAATTTGTACTACTTTAGAGTCTACTTAAAAAAACAAACAAAAAACCCTGCTTATTTCACTTTGCTGTACATCCTATTTTGTTTTTACATCAAATATTTTTGGATTTGTAATTTCATGGCTGCCGAATTATAAAACCACAACATTTGGGCATCATTGACTAAAGTCTTCCTCTGAGATATTTAGGTTGTTTCCAATTTGGCTACTATAAATAGCAAAGTGGTGGACATCTTCGTACAGCCACTTGGCTGCATCTGTGATAAACATTCTTGCTTTTGTTTGCTCAGCTCCAGGCCCCACCTCCCTCTGATGACAGTAGCTTGATTTCCCTTTGGGGAACCGCACCTGTCCCCTTCTTTCAGTCCATGAAGTTCATGCGGCACCCACCACCAGCTCCAGGGGACTAGCTTCTAGCCACCTCCATAAAACTCAAATAAAAATTTGACCCAGGCCTGGACAATCAGAGCATGGAATTCCCCCCTAATTATAGAGATCGGTTAGAATGGACTCGGTAGCCTAGGCCTGGCCAATCAGGAATTTGTTTAAAGGGAGCCACATGACCCAAGGTGATCCAATCAGAATGAACCCTGGGACTTGCCCCGGGGCCTACTGGGAAGAGACACTCTCTCTTTTCCTCTGACTTCCAGGCCAAGGTGGTTGACCAGCTTGTTAAAGTGGAGCATGAGAATGGAGTCCACATGCAGAGCAGAGGCCAGGGACAAAGGCGGGCTGGATTCTGCTGACGATGAGCCCCTGATGGGGCTGTGCCTCCAGCTGGAGTCCTAGCCTTTCCATGTTAAAATTCAACACTTTCTCTTTTTGGCTTAAGCCCAGTTGAGTTCGGGCTTGTGGCCATTTGGAACCAACTAGCTCTGGCTTTATTAACTTAAATTTCTTGACCTAGAATTACGGAGCCAAAGGACATAAACATTTTAAGCCTCTTGAGACCTATAAAGTTGCTTTCCAGAGAGTTTATTCTGCAGAGAGCATCGCAGTGTCTGCGAGCCTAAATTTCAAGCAGTAGCGCACTAGCTTAAGCATCTTAGGTGGGAAGAAATGATATGGTTTTTATTTTCAGTGACCTGAAATATGTTTCATGTTTATAGGCCATTTTTACCTATTTTGTGATTTGTTAAATAGGAGCAATTGGTGTCAATCTTCTTCTTTGTAAGAGTTTTTAAAATATCAAAAATTGTTCCTTTTTCACCTTTCTCAACATTTCCCCCCAGTTTATTGTCTTTAAATATTTTGATGTGTTCTGAGGTAGGTGTAGTTTTTTAAAAATATTTTTATTAATTTCAGAAAGGAAGGGGGAGGGAGAGAGAAACATCAATGATGAGAATTGCTGATCAGCTGCCTCCTGCACGCCTCACACTGGGGATCGAACCTGAAACCCAGGCATGTGCCCTGACCAGGAATCAAACTGTAACCTCCTGGTTTACGGGTTGAGGCTCAACCACGGAGCCAGGCTGGCCAGGCAGTAGATGTATTTTTAATATTTTTGTGATCAAATTACTTTCAGGTGTCACTCTGTTGCTTCCATGCTTCCAACATCCTTCCCGGCTGAAGGCCAGGCCAACGTGGACCAGGTTTTCTCCTTTTTGACATTCCGACACCCAGTATTTCGCCGAACCGCAGTTTGCCGACCACTGCCCTGGGGGCTTGTTAGGTTGTAGATTGATGGCCAGGCCACGGCCACACCAGGTGTCTGCTCTGATCATCCTGCTTCGCAAGGAGTGTGACAAAGCATCTGAACTTGACCTACGAATGCACACCAGGTGCACAGCAGGCAGACGGCAGGGGACAGGATGGCGACCAGCTCTCTGCAGAGCCCTGGCAGGCAAAGCTACAAAGCCAGCCAGCCATGCCTGGGCCCATAAGGGGGTACTACGTCCTGCACCTGGCAGGAAGGCAGGCAGGTGAGGTGGAGTGGGGGCGGCCCTCCCAGAATGCCAGGTGCACCCCATCATGCTGATGGGCACCCGGAGTCCTGGCAGGGGGGATGCGCTCCAGGTGGGTCAGACCCCAGCTTAGGCATTTAGGATTGGCCATGGACTCTACGGCAGTGGTTCTCAAAGTGCGGCCCTGGCACCCGCAGCATCGGCGTCACCGGGCATCGTGTTAGAAATGCAAATTCTAAGGCCTCCCCAGCCCAGACCTGCCGGGCCAGAAGCCCTTGGGTGGGTCCACGCCCTGTGTAACAAGCCTTCCTGATGCGTGTGCAGGTCCGCGAATCACTGGCCTGATCTGTACCCACATAACAGGGAGGTTAATGGGATGCTTCAGGTCTGGAAAGTGGTTGTGGGGAGAGAAGGGGAACTGTGAGCATGAACGTGAGGGGGTCCCTGCCACGGACTGAGGTTCATGCCTCCCCACCCCCTCATACGGTGAAATCCTACCCCCATTAACCGTGGGGCCTTGGGAGGTGAGTACGTCGTGAGGGCTCTGCTCTCACGAATGGGATTAGTGCCCTTACAAAGCGGCCGCAGAGAGCTCCCTCTCCGCCACCCCTTCCCTCCCCCGGCCGCGATGGGAGGACAGCGCGAGGACAGTCCAGTGAACGGGGCAGTCCTGCCGCTGCCTTGATCTTGGACTCCCAGCCTCCAGAACTGGGAGAAACCAATGTCTGCTGTGAGGCCGCGCGGGCCACGGTCTTCTGTTACAGCGGCCAGATGGACCAGACATCCTCACGTGTGACCTCTGGACAGAAGCCCGACCTCGTAGCCTGGCCTAGGGGCCCACCTGCTCGGACTGCCCAGCAGGTTCCTCCACCCATAGCCAACCTGGAACCCCGACCCCTGTGTTTCCTCCACTTCCTTCAGCCCCCCCACCTCCTCCTCCTGAAACCTGCCTCCAGCCCGACCTGAGAGGTCCTCTGAGCCCCAAAGGCCCGTGAGATCAGAAACTCAAAAGGATGCTCCCGCTCAGAGCCCCTGTGTTCAAACTGCTCTTTAGACCTGACCACACTCGGCCGCCCATCATGTTTAGCTCCTCTAATGGCCTCGATGGCCAAGTCCTCCCTG